TTTATTCAGGCCCCGAAATAAAGGGAAAACAAAAAAAGAAAAGAGAAAAAAAACAAATTAGTAAGTGGGAAAGCAAGTTTTGACACCACCATCTTTGCCGATTTTTCATTATTGTTTGGCTCCACAGAATGACTTCAAAATTGAGAGACAGGTAGCTTACATAACAGAAAACTCACAAAAAAAAAAAACAGAAAAAAATAATAATTTTTAGGTACCAAAATATTTTTTTGCGGGGTCCGAACCTCTTCGAGTTTGGGCCCCGTACGGGGACCCGAACGCCCGAACGTTCGGGGGTCAGCTTAGGGGCCTCCGTACGTTCGGCCTGGCAACTCTGTATATTATTTTTCGGCCAAAAAAAAATCCAAAAAACTGGGACACGAGGTATGTGTAATGAACCCAGTCTGAAGGATACTCGTCAAGTGTCGAAGTACAAGAAAACTCAGCGCTGAATAATGTTCCCAATAATCGTGAATGTGATCTGTAATACAATGGGGCTCGTTCGACACTCCTTGGGGCCTCCTCGGGGCCGATGGAAGTTTCTTTGGGGGTTTTCAAGGAAATTCCCGCCATCGTTCCACCTGTCCTCGGGGACGTCGCCCGAGGACATTTACTTCGAACGATGTCAGACAAGAAAAAAGAAAAAAGAAAAGAAGATCAAATGTGTTTGAGGCCTTCAGCCAATAGGGTGCCGCCACGATCCAGATTCTCGGTTGTAACGTCTCTCTACCCATGTGCCCGCTCCTCTCCGTGAAACGTGGATTCCTTTTGCGGAGCCCAAGGAATGTCCTTCGGAGTGTTTTCACTTTTTTTTTGCCGACTGCATCCCCGAGGATAGGTGGAACAAACAATTCCTCGGGGACTTTACGTGCCCAAGGAAGTGTCGAACGAGCCCCAATGTCTCGTAACCAATGGATGAAGAGGAGAGAGGGGGAATAGACAGCTTAGAGAGTGGAGAAGTAAGTGTCCATCAATGATTACAGAGATAGTAGCCCAACACTTCCCTCTTCTTCCTCGGGCTTCCCCTCGCCTCCACGTCAGCAAGAGTGTCCAAGAAACGAGCCAGACAGGTCCTGATCACATCAGAGTGCCACGTGGCACAATTCCCTCATGAAGACGTTCAGCAGTGCAAAGTATCGACATCAGCGACAGGTAAGTATCCTCTCTCTCTACCAATTCAGAGATCCCGATCTCCCTCCTTGTCGCGTCCAACTCAGCAGTGAAGACAATGTGGCAAATGCCACGTCAGCGAGGAAGACAGAGTGGCATGTGCCACATCAGCACTGTTGAAGACAGCGTGGCAGATGCCACATCCGCAATGAAGACAGCTGGCGCCAAGACAGGAAGGCGCCAGCACGCAGGCGACGGTCTCGCGCCGTCGTTCACGACGCCAGCCTCCAGCCAGCGTCAAGTCAGCACAGCAAGACCGAATGCTGACTCCGTGGAGGCAAGGCCTTATGTAGCATTTGGCGAGGTTGACCTGCCTCAGGTCTCCCACCCATGGTGGCTCAGATCGACTCACAGCCGATGGCCCGGATCTCATACAGTTACAGACTCCCACTTGGTCGGAATGCTGTCTTGTTACCTGCATACAAACAAGTGTGTGTGTCTGACCGGCGGCCTGGGCTAGGTCCATACAGACTTTGACTCGTGGCCGCTGGGCAGTTGACCGATAGTCAACTGTCGGGCGTCAAGGCCCTGAAGCCTTTTCCGGGGGTTTTCCTCCCCCTGGTCGTCGCGGCCTGCCTGTGCCCCTCAGGCAAACCGGGCATACGGAGCAGGTTATTGAAAATTCCTCGTGGGCTGCGGCCGCGACCGACTTTTCCAGCCGAGGCGGCCGACTTGTCTGCGGCCTAGGCCGCGGGTGTCACGTAGCTCTTCTGCTCTTCATGTTTGTCTTGTGTATGTTTAAATTTTTATTATCGTTTGTTTTGCAAAGTGCGCTCTCTTTTAGTTCACGGATGTGTGACGAGTTGACAATATAATTGAATATATACATATTATCATATTATTAATTTATTATGATATTACATACTTTTTTTTTTTTTTTTTTTTTGTACATACTTTCATTTGTCAGCTTCTGATGTTTTTTCTTTTTTCTTTTCCCGTCAACTTCTGTCATCTCGTTCTCTCTCATCAGGCCGTTTTGATCTTGCAAGGTCCCTTGAGAAATGGGGAGGCCTCATGGAAGTGGCCCGCGCTCTCGGCCTCCGAGTGAAACACCAGGCGCCGGCATTGTCCAAAGCAGCCGCAATAAATCTTCTTGCGGAGGATATATCGTCTTCAGCAAGCGGAATCATGATTTCCAGGGCAGAAATCAGTATGATGGCCAAGAGCATCCACATCAGCAAAGGGGAGAGCGACAACAGGGGCCAAGGCGGAGCGCAGGCGCCTCCGGTCGGCTTTGATCAACCCACGAAAACTATATTTCCAAAGCGCTCAAAATGGAGCAGGCTAGGAAAGAGGCATCATCACAGCTAGAAGAAAAAGGAAAAGACATCATCATCATCAACAACAACAACAACAACATATCCCACTGGTGAACTCCAAGGCCTATACTGACACAACGGGCGTGAAGCGTTCATCTTTCCCACCCCGACCCCAAGCCCGACCCACCCTGGGGTGGTGTCTCCTCCGTTCTTCTCTTGGCCAGCAGCAAAGCTGATGAGCGGAACGAGGAGCAGCCTACCGTCTTCACCTGAATAGAACGCCCGGTCATTATAGCAGTATTTGGCACAACTTTCAGACCAGATACGGCGATAATTACAGGGCGGCAGACAAACGAAGGGCCCATTCCCCCCAGCTGGAACAGGGGCCAGTGGGGGTCAAGCAAGGCCCGCCCTCTCATTCTGCAAGTACCTTCAAAACAGCCAACGTCTTCCCCCGAACACAACGCACCCTTATTTTGGCTGTATCTGGCCGGAAATATAGCTTGTATACATTCATTTTTAGGGTGCATTATGTTCGGGGGAAGACGGTAGCTCCCCCACGCCTCAGGGGGTTAGGGCAGCCATGAAGTCCTCCAGCATTCTTAGCTTCAGCAACAGGACCACATGCCGGAGGGCGGTAGCTGTCCACAATGAGACCAGAGGACCAGGACTACACGAGGAGCCTAGCTCCCCCACGCCTCGGGGAGACAGGCGATAGGCAACATAAGGATAGGAAGTCCTGAGTACATACATGAGTCAGTCTCAGTCAGATGTCTGATCACTGTCAGTCATGGAAATGCCTTGTAATATGAGGGACGCTGGACCCGGTTTCCAGCAGGTGCTGCTCCCCACCAATAGATGGAGCCTTCAACCGTGGAGCCACTTAGGGAGGCTGCTCATATCACCTTGCTAAGTGCTGTCCACGACTCGAAGTTTGGCCAAAAAAAAAAAAAAAAAAAAAAAAAAGACGCAATAGCATAGCTTGAGTGAGTTGATTGCTCTGGTTGTTTTTGTTTGTGCACATTGTGTCCTCCTCGAGAGTAAAGCCTTGCATGATGAGCATTTTTTTGAGTTTTTTTGTACATGAAAGTATGAAGTGTGACAATGTGAAGTATGATATCTTGTTTTTTCTAATGATTTTTTTTTTCCCTTCACATAGAGAAATCCAGCAAGAGGGAAAGAAGAAAAAAAAAAAAACAAAAAAAAAAACAGAATGTGATGGAGAAGGGGAGGGGAGTGATGCATCGAATGCTCAGCGTATGCTTCTTGTCCAGATTTATTTCATCTTGGTTTCAGCTTTCCAGTGCCGGCTTTTACGCTTCTTGTCTAAAATTGATTTCATCAGATTCACCTTGGTTTCACCATTTCAGTGCCAAATTTTATGCTTCTGGAATCTGGTCTACATTCGTTGCATCTGGGCTGCAGCTTTTCAGTACCAGCTTACACTTCTTCTTGTTGTCTTAATTCATTTCAGCGCCAGGCTGAGAGAGCCGCTAATGCGCGGCAGCAGCGATTGATCCGAAGAGTCAATGAAGACACAATCGTACTGACGACAGCTGTCATGTATTTGAACTGACGACAGCTGTCACATATTTGAACGCAGCTCAAAAGCACACTGTGACTGTCCTTTTTTTTTTTTTTTTTTTTTTTTTTTTAAA